TTTGCAACCCTTAAAAAATCTTCTAAGGATAATTCTAAACTATTTTGTTCATTTATGTATTGTTTATATCTCCTTTAACAGAGCCCAGACTCCATGAAAGTAAGGATCTTATCTATCTAGTTAACTGCTATATTCTCAATACCTAAAACAGTGCCTCATGTTGAATGAAGGAATGAATAAATTGTACAAAATATTTAGTTACTTAATACTTCTGGGAGTTTGGATTCTGGGTTAAATGGAAATTAACTGATCATTATCTATAAGCCATGCTTGCTTTAAAATATAAGCAATACAATTTTAAATTCAACTTGTCTCTGAAAGTGAAAGGCATGCAACTGAATTCAGATTCTTTTCCACTTGACTACTACTTCCACTAATAAATTCCCATATAACTCTAGCAAGTCTCTACCTTGTATTTATAATACTCCTTCAGAGGAATTTCAAGTCGCAGAGTGCAGGTAGATTAATGAGAAGTGCTGAGATAGCTAACTAGCCATTTGGTGGAAAACTAAATTCATATTTTAGCCTCTCCTCAAAATAAATTCCAGATCAATCATAGGTTTAAATAATAAAAATAAAACCATAAAAGTATTAGAAAAGCTTTAAAAAGACCATATTTTATTGTTGAAGAAGGCATTTCAGAGCATGAGCTACAAAAATCCTAAAAGATAAATTTAAAAGCCTCTACAGAGCAAGTGATAGAAAACAAAATGACAAATTGGAAAAACACTGTTACAGATATGACAAAAAGTACCTAAAATATGTAAATAATTCCTAAATTAGTCATAAATAGACAAAAAATGAGGAAGGAGTTTGTTGAGGGGGTATTTCATAAACTCAGGTATTTCCAAAGAGAGCAAAATAGATGGCCAATAAAATAAACTAGATATATTTGCCTATTATATTTATTGATATTTTTTGTTTTACTCATTCAAAGCACTGGTAAAAATTCATGAGAAAAGAGGAACTCTTTTTTTACTCCTGGTAGGGATGTAAATGGCACAACTCTTTCGAATGATACTCTGACAAGAGAAATCATAATTTGAAAGTTAACATTTATAAACTTATATGAAAATATTTATACACGCAGACATTTTCTATGCATATTGTTTGTAATTAGAAAATTGGAAACAACTTAAAGATCGTTGGTGATTAAATTAATGTGCATTCAAATAATAAATAATTGGTAAACTTGTACATACTCATATAAAAATAAATTTTAAAATAGTAAGGTCTTGATATATACACATATACATATACTTACACATACAGTATAACAAGCTGTATACAACATAATCTCATTTTGGTTTAAAAAAATTATGTTTAGTCATCCAAGGTATCTGGTATGACAGACCCCAAAAAGTTAACAGTGAAGTGTCAAGATTTTTATTTTTTACAGGTTTTTGAAGTATCTGGGTTTCCACAATAAGAACTTTCAACATAAAAAATTTAACTTATTAATAGTGAAGATGAAAAAAAGTAAGATAAATAAAATGATTCCTTCAAAGGTCACTTATCTTCTGGATCTGCACGTCCAATAAAAGAGTCAGTAAGACTATCAAGTACTTGATGAGTACCTCTGCTAACTGAGATGGTTAAAGTATAAAATATACACCACATAGTATATATTTGGAAGATTCAGCATGAAAAAAATAGTAGAAAATATCTAATTACTATTTTTATATTGATCACATGTTGAAATGATAACTGATATGTGGGATTAAATAAAATATCCTATTAAAATTAATTTCACTTGTTTCTTTCTAGTTCTTTTTACACCTATAACTCACTATGTTTCCACTGGACAGTGCTATTCTGAACAAAAAAAGGAAATGAGAATTAATTACTCTGGCATTATTCTTTAGTTAATATAAACATTTCTATTTACGTGTTTTTCTTATTATTTTCAGAATCTTTCTACCAACATATTAATTCAAAAACAAATGATCACAGTCAAAAAAAGAAGAAATGAAAAGACTACTATATTCAAAAGGTTCAAAATGCCTTCTGTTTTATTTGAAAGTTGTATCTCCAAATGATTGCACAACCTGGGGGAGGATAAGGGACTTTGCTTTGCTTGAAATTCAAACAAGGCTCCTAAATGTCTTAAATTTCCATGCAGCTAAAAAGTTTTGTATATTAGTTCTTAGTTCCTTAGATTAGGGACTAATTTTGCTTAGTTTCTTATTTTCTTTGACATACAAAAACTAATTTTTATAACATTAATGGTTATATTTGATCAGGGCTCTATTTAAATGAGCACGAGTTCAAACAAAGATTAGATTCTGCCTTTAACAATATGTACTCAGACAGGAGGCATTAAAAGGTAGATGTAAAACCACTCATAAAATTGCTATGTTTATTACATTTCCAATGTTGACACTGTCTTACAGCTTGTAATTAGGCAAATAATTTAATTATATTCAATAACATGTCAAACTACTATTAGAAAAAATATTCAGATATTTCTACCCAGAGACAATGTACTATAAACCAGGAATACATGACCGCTGCCTCCAAGCTGTTAGTGTTACAGATGAATTGTATAAATTGTGTAAAAAAATTAATATTTTAGTACAGTAACTAAAATGGAAGAAAATTCCTTCACACAGTCTCTCATTGGTATTAGTGTCTAGTTATTTTCATGCACTAGAAAGGGCTACCTTTCAAATTCCTTTCTCTGAAAAAGAACTTCCTATATCAAAAAAGAGTGAGTATCTACCATACGTAAATTATGTACATGGAAAACTCCCGTTATGACTTTATCATTCTCTTTTTCGTTCACTAAATATTTTTTGTTCCTCCAACCTATAAGGCATTGTACTAAAGTGCTGTAAAGAATATAAATCAAAAACAGACGAAGATCTTGCCAATAAATAGCCAATAGTACAATAGAGATGAGAGGTTGGCCCATCTCAATTCTCCCTCATCTAGAAAGTGAATTAAAATAGCAGGGTCAATAGTTTTAACGCAGAAAAGTAGACAGTTTAGTGAAGGAAAGTTTTGAAATATGCCCTTCATAACCAATAATGACAACATTAACTTTTCCCTTTAAAAAAAGAGGAAGAAATTCAAATTTCTTCACTAGTTTAACATACACTTTTATAATTCCATAACATGTACCACTGCTAAAGGTTAAGATGAAAATAAAGTATAAGGAAAAAGTTTTTGTTTTTCTTCTTCATTAGTAAAAATATTTGTATATTTTTATTTTCTTGAATTCTTTATTTCTCTTAACAGAAATGTGTATGTGGTTGTATATTGAATACATAAAGAAGTATACATAAGTAAACAAAAGACATAATTCCTTGCATTTACTAAGGTCCAAGAGAGCAAAATTAGATTCTAGCAAAATTTCCCAACTTATGTCATCTTAACATGAGATTAGATAATATTCACTGATAAAATATTACAGTATGTACAGAAATGCATTGATTGTTTCTAATTACCAAAAATAGCTAATATATCATACTCTATAGTGTTTACTATTATCGGGTAGTATTCTAAGTTCTTTAAAAAATATTGATTTTTTAATCTTTATACAACCCAATATTATCTTCACTTGACAGACAAGAAAATAGAAGTACAGAAAAGCTAAGTAATTTGACCAAGAATCACACAGCTGAAGAACAGCAGAGCCAGGATTCTGATTCAGCATCTTTCCATAATCATACTCCTAATCATTATGTCCTAAATGCTTTACATATATTCTTTTAATTCTCATAACCTTATTAAGTACTATATATGTAGCTACCTCAACTTACAGATGAGGAGACTGAGGTATGGTAAGGTTAGGTAAGTAACTTGTTCAAGTCTGGACAGCTAGAGCTGACTGTTGGACCCAAACCACGTCCGATTCCAGAGCCCACACTCTTAACAATTTTACTATATTAATTTGTCAAAATAAGGAATTTTTAAAGGATTTATTATTTTCTCAAAAATTTCTTAATATGAACATTTAAGAAGAATAATCACTTCATATGAACATTTAAGAAGAATAATCACTTAATATGAACATTTAAGAAGAATAATCACTTAAGAAGAAGAATAAGTTAACTGAAGTATTTAGTATTTTTTCTTTTAACACTAAGAAGCAGCACAGTGGAGCATTTATTTTTAAACATACTACTAATTTTTTGGTTTTGTTAAATTTACAATATCAAAATTATTACCAAGCTCACAAACTTCAAAAAAAATTATAATAGGCAAATCATCTCTGACAATGGAAGTATTTAATTCAGGTTCGACCTTAGAAGACCACAATCTATTGATCTTTCAGTATGCACATGGAAAACAGACTGGAACATACAGACAAAGAATATAATGAAGAAAAGGGGTGAGATGCCTTTTAATGTATGGAATTTGTGATAATACACAACTGTGGTTAAGATAGATCATCTGAAGCAAAAATATACTAACAAATAATTATACCAACAAATAACAAGAAATAGATAACCATATGTTACCTTTTACAGAGAACCATGGGGGTGCAGCACTGAGACCCATTAATAACACACAAAGAAGTGAAGGAAGGCTTCACAGAGAAAGCATTTTTTAGGATGGGTAACTGTTGCTGCTGTTTCTCCAAATACAATTTGGGAAGTGCATACTTAATTCATTAATTTTTACTCAACTTTAATGATGAATTAAAGAGTCAAAAGAGTTTGATGTTTACTTTTAAATACCTTTAAAAATCAAGACAAATTAAAATGAGCTTTTAAAAATTGTTAGATCTCATAAGACTGAAAGTGCAATTTATAATATAAGAAAATTAAACAGAATAACAATTTAGAATGACCTATCAAGTCACTTGTTCATTTCTTTGATTCCACTTAGCATTGATCTAACTCAATGTGGAAGGTTACATTCATACAAGTTTACATAGCTTAATGATTAACTATATTCTATTCACCTGCCAACCTTACTGTTTGTGTAGCAAATAGTGGTACATATATAGTTAAGAAATTCAGGTCTACTCACAGGAGAAAACTTGTCCCAGACTGTTTGAAATTAAATAAGATAAAAATGTACACAATTAAGCTCTTTCTTTTTATTGCTCCTCTAGTTTTTTCTTCCACAACTGACCAAGACTATGCATCATCTGATTCTGTATCTCCACAGCCAAAATCAAGATTTGCTATGTTAGATGATGTAAGAATTTTAGCCAGTGGCCTTCTTCAGTTAGGACAAGGTCTTAAAGACTTTGTCCATAAAACTAAGAGCCAAATTAATGACATATTTAAAAAACTCAACATATTTGATCAGTCTTTTATTGACCTATCACTGCAAACCAATGAAATCAAAGAAGAAGAAAAGGAACTTAGAAGAACTACATCCAAATTACAAGTCAAAAATGAAGAAGTAAAGAATATGTCACTTGAACTCAATTCAAAACTTGAAAGCCTTCTAGAAGAAAAAATTCTGCTTCAACAAAGAGTGAGGTATTTGGAGAAGCAATTAACCAATTTAATTAAATATCAACCTGAATGTCAGGAACACCCAGAAGTAACTTCATTTAAAGTAAGTAGAAACCAAAAAGGGTTCATGATTATGTTTTCAATGTGACTCTTTTAAAAAAATATTTTAAGACATGCTGCTTTAAATACTTAGTTGCATTGTTGAAATACTGTTTGTTTGTTTGTTTTTTTTTCAGAAAAAAACGCCTCTAGAAAAAAAAATTTTCCATTACAATTTTAAGTTGGTTTTTATGTTTCCCTAACCTTATAAACACTAAATTATTACAGTATTGCAGATTACTGGAAGCAAGTAAAAAGTTAAAGGAATATAACTTAAAACTATTCTCCCATGTTTAAAATGAATAAAAATCATACAGTAAATGGTAAAGATTTATTCCTATTAAAATACTGTGTGTTTTTTCTATTTAATTGAAGTAGTTTAAAGTTCAGGAAATCAGATTTTAGAGATAGTACTTTTTTAAAAAACATAAAAACAAAAGTATGTACTATTTGAAAGAAGCATACAAGAGAAAATAATTAACAACTCACTTTCTAATACTCTATTAGTTTTTAAAAATCAGATTGTATAAGTTATAGGAAATAAAGTCTAATTTAACAAAAATAAAAGAAGAAAAGAACTTCTAACCAATCTACAACCTATGTCCAGACTTTTGTAGAACAGCAAGATAATAGCATCAAAAGCCTTCTTCAGATCGTGGAAGAACAATATAGACAATTAAACCAACAGCACAGTCAAATAAAAGAAATAGAAAATCAGGTAAGTCAATATTCTAATGATATATTCAATCTTTTACATAAAATTTAGGTTTATGAAAACTGTGAACCCTAAAATTACTTTAAATAATTATAGTTGATTAGTGAGTAAAACAATCACATCAGCATGATTGTTATGATTGCTGGCTCTGAAGTTCATGAGCTTACCTGGGTTTGAATCTTGGCTCTAAAACTTGTGTAACCTTGAATAAATTATATAACCCCTCTGTCTCTGTTTCCTCACTTAGTCTATGAAGATCATAATAATAACCTATATTATAGGATTATTGTGAGAAAAAAGAATTGATTCATGTAAAGTATATCCTCAATATAGCAGGCAAAGTGATTCTATTAAAATTTAAATTAGATCACATCTCTCTTTGTCCAAAATCACACGATGGCTATCCATCTCACTCAGACTGGACGTAAAACTCCAGATAACCCTTTTTATCTTACTAACTTCATCTCTTCTACTCTAGTCATAATGGCCTCTTCACTGTTACTCAAAAATATCAAACACACTGCCATCTCAGAGACTTTCCCCTTGTTTTTTCCTCTGTCTGGATTGTTCTTCTCTGCAGTGCTGCACCGCCCACTCTCATTTCCTTTAGGTCTTTCTCAAATATAGAATTCTCAATGAAGCTTTCCCAGGTCACTTAAAAATTATAATCCTTTACTTCCATCCTTGGAACCTGCTACCTCCTTCATTACTCTCTTTTCTTCCTTAGCACTAACTTCTATTTCACATAATATGTTTTTTAGTTATTTATCTTATCTCTCCCTAAACTAGAACGTAAGTCCCACGAGTGCTGAGATTTTATTCCATTTTTTAAATTGCTGTTGTCCCAGAATATAGCACACTGTCTGACACAGAGTAGTCACTTAATAAATATATGTTGAATTAATAAAGGTAATGTCATATTCAGCACAAATAAGTCAATAAAAACTTGCTATGATTATGATTATTCTTGTTATTTGAAACTGTGTACCTGATACAGTTTAATCCCACCAAATATAATTATTCTACAATGTAAACAACTGGCTAGGTGAGAGAGAGGTACCTGTTTATTATAAAACTGTCAGAATCTAAGCATTCCAATATATAGTTCTACAGTTCAGAAACTTTAGTAATACTATTAAAAAGTCATTCAAGGGGGTTCCAAAAATAACAGACTCGGAGAAAATGGTAAAAAAAAAAAAAAAAAAAAATCAAGAATTGCAAAACAAATATTATTACCAATTTCCACTAAACAAACATATAATTATATGTCTCAGTAATTTCATGACTCATATTTTAGTAGGTTATTTTTGCTAATTATCTAAAAAGGATTTTTTGCCAACTAGTTTTGATTTCTATAGTTTTATTTTTATTGTTATTTTTCTAAATTCTTTTTCCTATATCTTTTATTATGATTAAATGAACCTGCTCTCAAACATAAAATACTATTACTATAAAATTATATACATGTAATAATAAAATGTGTGAAAAATTCGAACAATGAATTTCTGAATTGGAAGAAGGCTTAGATCATCCTCAAGTTTAAATGAAGAAACCAAAACTCTAAAAAGTTAAGTGACTTTAAGATCACATAGTTATTTAGTAGGAAAAACTAATACCCAGTATGTGAATGTCACAACAGATCCTTCACAACAGACTGGGTCCTGGGAAATGCCATGTACGCTAATGTCAAAAAACGAATACTAACACAAGATATTACATACATACTCTGCTCTTCTCAGATCAATAAGAAAAGCTAACAGCCAATAAATTGCAAACCTAGCACACTTTTAACTGTTATTGTTAAACTAACAGACAATGAAATATCGAACATATTGAAAGCAAGCAAATAAACCTACCAATTTGTTACCTCTACAGATATGTTTACATGTCAAAAACTACCAAGAAAACAGCCGTGTTCAAATTATGTGCTATGTCTTTATGGCACATAGGTCTGAGAAACAGTAAGATTTACAACCGAGACTTATTAAATTTAAAATCTGCCTATGCTACTGAATACAATATATATTCTATTCATATAAATAGGTGATATTAAAATATTTCAGCAAAGTCTCTGCCTTTGGTCTTGATGTTTTCTAACCAATTTCTTTCTTTTTTGCCTTGCTCTCTATTTTTTTTTTTTTAACTCATTAAATAATGTACCTGATTACATATTTTGAGAACAGGACATCTTGTACAATCTGTATAGCATTGCTTATCCCATTTAACATCAAAAGCAATAACACATTTGAACTAAAAGATGTGTACAAGTTGTACTTTTAATATCACCACCCATTCCCCTAATTGAATAGTCAATATCACTTTTAAAAGCAGACTTATATTATTTTATCAGTTAAGAAGAACTGGTATTCAAGAATCCACAGAAAATTCTCTTTCTTCTAAATCAAGAGCACCAAGAAGTACTCCCTCTCTTCACTTAAATGAAACAAACAATGTAGAACATGATGGTAAGGTAATTTGGTTTCCTTCTTGAAACTATTATCAAATTCTTTTTCTACCTTTGACATTTCCATCAAAAAAAATCCCTATTTTCAGGGCCTGTTCTAGACTAAAAGAAAGTAGAGACAAATCTACCAAATACAATATGCCACCCTAAATTGGATTCTGGTGGGTTTGTTCTTTTTTTTAACTCTATAAAAAACACATACTTAAGACAATCAGGGATATATGAATATAGACTCGGTATTAGATAACACAGAATTCTTATTAGTTTTATTAGATGTAATAATGGTATTGCAGTCATGTAGGAAAACAGTCCCATGTTTAAGAGATGCATGCTGAAATATCTAAGACGTTAAGGATCATGATGCTTGCAAATTGCTTTCAAAAAGCACAGCAAAATACGTACTTGTGTACATGTGTGTTTATAAAGCAAATATGGCAAAATGTTACAATTGTTGAATATGAAGGAAAAAATTATGGTATTCTCTTCAAAGTTTTTTTCTACTTTCCTGTTTGCCTGAAAATTTGCCAGATAAAGGAACAAAGTCTCCATTCTCAACAAAATTATATAGTTTAAAAACATTTATTTTTTTATGTAATTCATACAGAAAAAAGGTCTCTATTAGTTTCCTCCATGTATGTTCATTCTTTCCACATATATCTATGGCTATCTTCTATGAACCAAACATTATTTTGGTATCTCATATGTGGTATTTTTATATTCTTCCTATATCTAGCAAAAAAAAAATGCTTAAAATTCTCATTTTGTCATTTTTCTTAAAAAGAAATCAGTTTGGTAATAACTATTTTGATATTATTTACATAACATGCCATCTAATAAAAAATGTTTTAGCATGAAGTACTTTTTCAGTAATGTATTACTGAAAAGGGTTGAAGGCCGCATTCACCATAATTCCATAAAATGTCAAGTAAATTCTCAAGTTCTAAAGATATCAATCTTATTACTATATCTTATGTAATACCATTTTGTTCATT